CTGTAATCCCAGCTACTTGGCAGACTGAGGCAGGAGAATCACTTGAATGGGGAGGTGGAGGTTGCAGTGAACCCAGACTGCGCCACTGCACTCTAGCCTGGGTGACAGAGCAAGACTCCATCTCAAAAAAACAAATAAAATAATAAAATAAAATGTAATCTAGATTTACATTAATTAAAACAGCTTGCTACTGAACTAATCTCAGAAGTGTTTTGCCAAGTGAAAAAAAGCTACCCCTCAATAGGCTATTTGCTATATGATTCTATTTACATGACAGTCTTGAAAAAGCAAACTCCAAGAATTATTGTTAGTAATTCCCCTCTCAAGGGAGGATTCTGCAGCCAGGTTGCCCTGCCTTGTTTCATCAAAATCAGCCCCTAGGATTTCTAAGCAAGCATTTAATTACAAAAGTAAATGCTGTGTATTAATGTACCTGGTGGGAAAGGGAAATAACAAAGTCTTACAGCACAAGACTACATTCTGAGATTCAGAAAGAAAGAAAAAAATACTTTAAAAATGCATTTTGAAGTCGGGATCCTTGGTTACAATAATTCAATTTGCATATAAAATGTTTTCTCCATAAAATTGGTTGCTCAGTGTAAAACAACTAAGGCTGATGTGAGGTGCCCTTTATGTAAAAAAAGATCTAATGACATCTTAGAGACCTAGTAGTCAATGTTTTATTTTCTGTCTCTGGAATGGCTTTTCTGAATACTAGGTATAATATATCCAATATAAGGCATGATGTTCTTTTTGGATTTGTGCTGAAGTTGAAAGACAGTAGACATCTTCTCCCATACCCAGTTGCTTTTGGCTTCTGTTCTGTTACAGACCTAGTTGCCTAGATTGCAAAGAGAAATATGAACAGAGCTAAGAGGGAGGAGGTTATCTTGGAACAGAAGTAGTACAATGTACAAGTTTGAAAAGGAATGATCTAGGCTTGCTTTTTTCCTACCTGTCTTTTAAATTTCAGCATAAATATAGTTTTGAATTCTAAAGAGGGTCCTATGCCTTCCATTGTATGATCAGACTACATTTGACCTACCTCTCTATCTCATCTCCTCATAGAGAACTTGAACTATTAGCTGGTGTGCAAGTTATTGCAATTTTTGCCATCACTTTAATTTTGCCATTTACTTTAATGGCAAAAAGCGCAATTACTTTTGCACAAAGCTAATACATTTAAAATTAGTTTCTTAAATGTTCAAACAAACAAAAGGAGGTCTCTTCAAAAGTGTCATCTAAAAATATGTTTTAAATTTATATGCAGAGTCTTTATTTTTTTAATGGCTGCTTTTACCTCTTGATTTCTTAATGTATAAATAATAGGATTTAAAAGAGGTGTGAAAATTGTGTAAAACACAGAAAGAATTTTATCCACAGAGTATCTGTTGAAGGGCCATATGTAGATAAAGACACATGGAGCAAAGAACAGAGTCACAACTGTGATGTGAGCCGAGAGAGTGGAGAAAGCCTTAGAGGATCGACTAGCAGCATGTTGCCTAACTGAGAATATTATGATTCCATAGGAGACAAGCAAGAGGAGGAAGCAGATCAGTGACAGGAGCCCACTGTCAGCAATGACCAGGAGCTGTAGGGTGTCAGTGTCCTTGCAGGCAAGTTTAATCACAAGGGGAAGGTCACAGAAAAAGCTGTCTACAACATTGGGACCACAGAAGGGCAAATTCAACATGAAAGCCATCTGACTAGATGAGTGCATAAATCCAACTGCATAGGAGGATAACAGTAGCCCAGTGAGCATCCGTGGGCTCATGATGGTCATGTAATGGAGGGGTTTGCATATGGCAACATACCTGTCTATTGCCATGGCTACAAGCAACATCATCTCACTCCCACCCAGGAGGTGCATAAAGAACATCTGAGAGTAACATCCCCACCATGAGATGGTCTTATGTTCTCGGAGGAAATCTACAATCATCTTGGGGGTAGCAAAAGAAGCCAGGATCATATCAATGCAGGAGAGGTTGATAAGCAGAAAATACATTGGTGTGTGTAGGCGTGCATCAAAGGTCACAGTCACCAAGATGAGAAGGTTTCCTAACACAATCCCCATGAAAACCACAGAGAATCCCAAGAAGAATAAAATCTGCAGATTTTGAGATTTGGAAAGTCCCAGCAAAATAAATTCAGATACCACTGAATGGTTTGCTCTTTCCATATTGTCAACTTTATCCCATAATGATCAAAATAAGTGAGAATAAGGGGTAGGGAAATGATGCATATTGGAAAGAAGTGTTCATGTTGATGTCCAAATTTGCTACTCAGTCAAGGCACTTGAACTTGCAAGGATCCCTTTGTGGGATTTTTGTCTGCCAGTGATTTCACTAATGGCCCAGAGAAGCATACCAAATAGTAGAATTCAGAATATAAGTTTCTGGAAGACAAAAACAAAAATATTAATAGTACATGAAACCGCAAATATATAGGTTGTGAATTAGAATCAGAAGATTTCTACAGGACACTTGGGTAAGCTGTTCACTGGGTGACAAAGGAACTCTCCTTTTGAGGGTTTTCTCCTCAGTAAAATAAAGTTGAACTTTATGGTATCTAATGCCTCTTTGGGCTATAAAAATCTCTATAAGATAATGATTCTGGTGAGTTTTATTAACCTGAAAATGATATAGAAATATATTCAGAATTCTTAAGAACCATGTTTTGAAATTGGCTCTGGTACAGAAATATCAATTGGGTTCTAAGAAACTTACCATATTTCTTCCATGCTCCATTATTGCATTAATCTCTCACAGATCAGTATTAGCAGTAATCAATACACACTTTAGAAGTGTCAAATATATGTATATTTTATATAACATACGTTACATACATTTCATATATTTATATATACATTATATATATAATTTGTTCATTCAACATTTTATATTACTCACATCAAATACCTCCTCTAGATGGTTAGACAATGTATACAAACAGCCCACAGCCAAATGTAGCTAAATTTACTTCATTTTCAGCGTGTATTCATTCATTCATTTACCTGGTTATTGTTAAGTACTGGTCAGCTGGTTGGCCTGTGCATGGTTATTTGTCATAGGTTACAAAGTGACTTAGCTTGACATAACATTTATGTTGGTAAAAGAAATACAGTTCTTTCAGTATAATCATCTAAATTTATGACAAAATTTGCCATCAACCCACACTTATTACAAATGAGTTCTATTGGTTCAGCTTTTTAAAAAATTACCTTCATTGCTAATAGTTTTAATCTAGGTTTTTACAAAACACCTTCAGTAAATAAAGCATACGTAGTCATCTTTTTGTGCTGTTATCGCTTACAAGACAGGGCGAAAATACTTTTGTGAAGGTGCCTTACATGAATCCCAGGAATGGCCTTTTATTACCTTTTCATGTAACCCCATCAGCTTTCTGCAGTTTACTCTTTCAATCATCAGAAACAAACAAACAAAAAGACCACAGTCCTATATGTTTCCTTGAGATAATCCCATAGGAACCTTTATCCAACTAGGGATGTATTTTCTTCCCTGTATAAACATATCTGTTGGCTAATTTCCTGCTCTGAGAAACTTACATTGATGCAAAATATTAAATCACATCAAATATGTAATTAGATTCATTCATTTATATGTCTAAAAAGGTTATAGCTCCCTTCAGTTTTTAAGTATAATATTTAAGAATTCCTACTAATGCTGCTTCTTTTTGAAACCTAATTTTTGAAGCTGCATTTAAACAGAACAGAACAATTTTCAAATACATTCAAGGTGGTTTATAAATATTCCAGCCTCTGGAATAGTGTATATCAAAAACACTAAGTAAATATCTGTTGAATGAATAAACCATGTAGTGCATATTCAGGATCTAGACTAGGTTAGATGACTTAATCCACAGAAAAATCCACAAAATTTTGAATTTTTTTTTTATTGCATTTTAGGTTTTGGGGTACATGTGAAGAACATGCAAAATTGTTGCATAGGAACACACGTGGCAGTGTGATTTGCTGCCTTCCTCCCCATCACCTACATCTGGCATTTCTCCCCTTGCCATCTCTCCCCAGCTTCCCACCCCCACCGTCCCTCCCCTATTTCCCCCCAACTGACCCCAGTGTGTCGTGCTCCCCTCCCTGTGTCCATGTGTTCTCATTGTTTGACACCTGCCTATGAGTGAGAACATGCGGTGTTTGATCTTCTGCTCTTCTGTCAGTTTGCTGAGAATGATGGTTTCCAGGTTCATCCATGTCCCTACAAAGAACCCAAACTCATTGTTTTTGATGGCTGCATAATATTCCATGGTGTATATGTGCCACATTTTCCCTATCCAGTCTATCGTCGATGGGCATTTGGGTTGGTTCCAGGTCTTTGCTATTGTAAACAGTGCTGCTATGAACATTCGTGTGCACATGTCCTTATAGTAGAATGATTTGTATTCCTTTGGATATATACCCAGTAATGGGATTGCTGGGTCAAATGGAATTTCTATTTCTAGGTCCTTGAGGAATCGCCACACTGTCTTCCACAATGGTTGAACTAATTTACACTCCCACCAACAGTGCAAAAGTGTTCCTATTTCTCCACATCCTCTCCAGCATCTGTCTCCAGATTTTTTAATGATCGCCATTCTAACTGGTGTGAGATGGTATCTCAATGTAGTTTTGATTTGCATTTCTCTGATGACCAGTGATGATGAGCATCTTTTCATATGTTTGTTGGCCTCACGTATGTCTTCTTTTGTAAAGTGTCTGTTCATATCCTTTGCCCACTTTTGAATGGGCTTGTTAGTTTTTTTCCTGTAAATCTGTGTTAGTTCTTTGTAAATTCTGGATATCAGCCCTTTGTTAGATGGGTAAACTGCAAAAATTTTTTCCCAATCTGTTGGTTGCCGATTCACTCTAATGATTGTTTCTTTTGCTGTGCAGAAGCTGTGGAGTTTGATTAGGTCCCATTTGTCTATTTTGGCTTTTGTTGTCAATGCTTTTGGTGTTTTGGTCATGAAGTCCTTGCCTACACCTATGTCCTAAATGGTTTTGCCTAGATTTTCTTCTAGGATTTTTATGGTGTTAGGTCTTATGTTTAAGTCTTTAATCCGTTTATTTTTAAATGTCAAATTGAATGTTGAAGTATTTTAAAATCAGAAATAGAATAGCCATTTTTAAAATGCTGGTTAAAAATATGTTTTTTCTTTTTAATTGTCTTTTTAAAAAAGTAGTTTATGCTAATGGAAAGAAAGCACATCACAAATAACAGAAAGATCACGGACTGTGAACACTAAGAGTTTCTTAGATAACTTTTCAGAAAAACAATACACATTCCAGTACAGTGTATGTGTGTTAGTGTTGTGGATATTAATATTTACATTTATATCATGTTTATTAAGACTGCAGTTTTTATATGTATATTTTTCTTGATCATTTACTTATTACAATAAAATATGTTTATATGAATATATAGAAACATAACTTATATATATATATATATATTTTATTGCACTTTAGGTTCTGGGGTACTTGTGAAGAACATGCAGGATTATTGCATAGGTACACGCATGGCATTGTGGATTGCCGCCTCCATCCCCATCACCTGTATCTGGCATTGCTCTCCATGTTATCCCTCCCCAACTCCCTTCCCCCTGCTATCCCTCCCCTAGTCCCTCCACCACAGACCGCAGTGTGTAATGCTCTCCTCCGTGTGTCCTTGTGTCTCATTGTTCAACACCTTCCTAAGAGTGAGAACATGCGGTGTTTGATTTTCAGTTATTGTGTCAGTTTGCTGAGAATGATGGTTCCTGGGTTCATCCATGTCCCTACAAAGGACACAAACTCATCATTTTTTATGGCTGCATAGTATTCCATGGTATATATGTGCCACATTTTCCCTGTCCAGTGTATCATCGATGGGCATGTGGGTTGGTTCCAATCTTTGGTATCGTAAACAGTGCTGCAATGAACATACATGTGCATATGTCTTTATAATAAAATGATTTATAATCCTTTGGATATACACCCAGTAATGGGGTTGCTGGGTCAAATGGAATTTCTATTTCTAGGTCCTTGAGGAATCACCACACTGTCTTCCACAATGGTTGAACTAATTTACACTCCCATTAACAATGTAAAAGTATTCCTTTTTCTTCATATCCTCTCCAGCATCTGTTGTCTCCAGATTTTTTAATGATCACCATTCTAACTGGCATGAGATGGTATCTCAATGTGGGTTTGATTTGTATTTCTCTAACGACCGGTGATGATGAGCATTTTTTCATGTTTGTTGGCCTCATATATGTCTTCTTTTGAAAAATGTCTGTTCATATCCTTTGCCCACTTTTGAATGGGTTTGTTTGCTTTTTTCTTGTACATCTGTTGTAGTTCTTTGCAGATTCTGGATATTAGCCCTTTGTCAGATGGGTAGTTTGCGAACATTTTTCCCATTCTGTTGGTTGCCGTTTCACTCTAACGATTGTTTCTTTTGCTATGCAGAAGCTCTTAAGTTTAGTTAGATCCCATTTGTCTATTTTGACTTTTGTTGCCATTGCTTTTGGTGTTTTGGTCATGAAGTCCTTGCCTATGCCTATGTCCTTAATGGTTTGCCTAGGTTTTCTTCTAGGGTTTTCATGGTGTTAAGTCATGTTTAAGTCTTAAATCCATCTGAAGTTAATTTTAGTGTAAGGTGTCAGGAAGGGGTCCAGTTTCTGCTTTCTGCACACGGCTAATCAGTTTTCCCAACAGCATTTATTAAACAGGGAATCCTTTCCCCATTGCTTGTTTTTGTCAGGTTTGTCAAGTGGTGAATTTAACATGGACTAAACAAAGACTTCAAAATAAGTGACAAATGTCAATTAATTTTAATTTATTCATAACATCCCTTGTTAGCAAGTTATTCATATAAAGTATGAAGCCTGAGGTACATGGTATACCAGAATCATCAATGTAATTAATTCTGTAAAGCAATACCTTGTAAAACAAACATTTATTGTGATGTTTTATAGTTAAATGGCAATCATTATGAAACCCTTTTTTGCTACATATATTCTCTGAATATCTCACTGCAAGGTACCTAAATCAAAAAATAATTGTTTATATTCTATCGAACACAAAACAATTGTACCATTTCTAATGTCACACTTTAAATTATTCAACACAACTTACTTTAAAAATGTCTACTTCTTTAGTATGTTTCATATTATACATAATAT